GGTGCGTCCGGGGAGTGAGCTTGTCGGCGATTATAAAGAACGTACGTTCGTATGTCAATGGTGTTCACCTTGGCGTTCAGGCCGGCATTCCTTATTGTCGTTATCAACGGTGTGGCTCGCAGGCGGGCGGGGCGGGATTGCCGGTGCTGCTTTCGCAAACTCGCGATAGCGCAAGTGACCTGACCCGCGACGTGGAACGCTGTTAACGTGTCCCTCATTGTGTCCACTCTTAGATCGCCCTCGAGCTGAAGTGATAGCAGTGTGCTGGATTACATCCGCTCGACGAACCGCTTTTGTGCGCACCGGGTGCTCCACGTCTGGCGACCACCAGCTGCTGCTGGATGAGCGTCACACGTTCAGCGCGCGGCCTCCGTGCGGCCGGACCGAGGTCAAACTCCCCGGCCGCATACGTCCCTTCCCCCATTGCGGGGCAGTCATGACAAGCTTGCCAGCGCATACCGAGAGGCTACCGCCATGCCCCAGCGTTGGTGCTGGCCTGCGTGGCTAAATCCCAGAGGCCATCGCCAACTCCATCCTCATCCAGATCACGTTCAAGTTCTCCTATATGCCTGTGTAGCGGATGCGACTGCAGCTCGCTCGCCGTCTTGCCCTCGCCTCAACTGTTTCAATTAGATTCCCCGAAAGCCCCGGCTCGCTTCAGGCGGCCTTTGGGGTGGCCCGGGGCTCATTCGCCGGTTTATCGCGGAAAGTCCGAGGCGGTCAGGCCACGCGTAATATCGCCCCAGCAGGCGATGGAACCGTTGCTCCTCACCCCGCAGGTGTGCCGCCCGGCGCTGACGGAGACGAAGGAACCCGCGGGCGGCGTGGCCTGGCCGATTCATTGTCTGCCCCAGCAGGCGACGGAGCCGTCGCTCCTCACCCCGCAGGTGTGGTCCCCCGGCGCTGACGGAGACGAAGGAACCCGCGGGCGGCGTGGCCTGGCCGTATTCATCGCTGCCCCAGCAGGCGACGGAGCCGTCGCTCCTCACCCCGCAGGTGTGGTCCACCCGGCGCTGACGGAGACGAAGGAACCCGCGGGCGGCGTGGCCTGGCCGATCATTGCGCCCCAGCAGGCGACGGAGCCGTTGCTCCTCACCCCGCAGGTGTGGTCCCACCCGGCGCTGACGGAGACGAAGGAACCCGCGGGCGGCGTGGCCTGGCCGTATTCATTGTCGCCCCAGCAGGCGACGGAGCCGTTGCTCCTCACCCCGCAGGTGTGTGTCCCCCCGGCGCTGACGGAGACGAAGGAACCCGCGGGCGGCGTGGCCTGGCCGATCCATCGTGCCCCAGCAGGCGACGGAGCCGTTGCTCCTCACCCCGCAGGTGTGGTCCCCCGGCGCTGACGGAGACGAAGGAACCCGCGGGCGGCGTGGCCTGGCCGATTCATCGCTGCCCCAGCAGGCGACGGAGCCGTCGCTCCTCACCCCGCAGGTGTGGTCCCCACCCGGCGCTGACGGAGACGAAGGAACCCGCGGGCGGCGTGGCCTGGCCGTATCATTGCTGCCCCAGCAGGCGACGGAGCCGTCGCTCCTCACCCCGCAGGTGTGGACGCCCCGGCGCTGACGGAGACGAAGGAACCCGCGGGCGGCGTGGCCTGGCCATCCCCATTGCTGCCCCAGCAGGCGACGGAGCCGTCGCTCCTCACCCGCAGGTGTGGTAGATCCCCGGCGCTGACGGAGACGAAGGGACTGGCGGTCGGCGCTGGTGGCGCGGTCGGAGCGGGAGTGGCTATTGGTTCCGTTGCCTCCCCCTCGGTTACGGAGAATGCGGAGGCGCCTTCTGTATTTCCGTCCCCTATTACAATGTAATAGTCTCCTCCGGTCAAGCTCGCCACACTAAACCGATGCTCGGAACCTCGATTTCATGGAAGTCGTAGCCCATAAGGCGCGTTTGCTCCTGACCGTTTGCGCTGTAGACAGCCAAAAGCGGAGGCTCCGTGTAATTCTCACGGAAGGCATAATATTCCCAGTCGAGCGTTAACAGAAATTCTGTGCCAGGTCTGGCGCGGAAGACGAGCACGTCCATATCGTCAACGTTTCGAGTTCGACCGCAACGGCTTCCCCTATGGCTATTCGGGTGGCGCTCTCGAAGTCGTTGCCGTGATCGTCAATAAGGGACACTGTCAGCGTGTAAGTCCCTATGCCGTAGCCCCCCACAAAAACGTACGCTCGCCGGAACTGGTAGCACGCCAAGAGAGGCGCGAGGCATAGGTACCCCGTAGTCGTCGCTGGAGTCCAGAAACGACCCGTCGGCGTCGTACAGCTCTACTATCGAGTCGTCCAGCGTTCCCAGCGCCACGTCTATCTGGTAGCTCCATCCCGCCTCGGCTTGGAAACGGAAGTAGTCGAAGTCGCCATCGTACTCCAGTTCGCCCCCCGAACATCGGCTCCCACTCTTATCGCGGTGGCGTCCCCTCCGAGTTGCCATGGTCGTCAATGAGTCTGAAAGGGACACCGTCAGCGTGTAAGTCCCTGTGCCGTAGCCCCACCGCAACGTAGCGCTCGCCGGAACTGGGAGCTTCCCAATAGAGGCGCGAGGCATAGGTATCCCGTAGTCGTCGTTGGTGTCCAGAAACGACCCGTCGCGTCGTACAGGTCTACTATCGAGTCATCCAGCGTTCCCAGCGCCACGTCTATCTGGTAGCTCTGTCCCTGCTCGGCTTGGAAACGGAAGAAGTCGATGTCATCATCGTAGTCCAGAGTTCCCCGAACATCCGCTCCCACTCTTATCGCGGTGGCGTCCCCCTCCGAGTTGCCATGGTCGTCGGGCAGATCCGTAGTCGTCGGGCACAAGATACGAATCTATACAGCCGGCCTCTATCATCCGTTGAAGGACGTCCTTGGGCACCCGGGCGGCAGCCTCCCTTAACTTTTCTTCAAAATCGTCTCGGCCGCGTTCATAGTGGGGTTGTCGAAGTCCATGACATCGTCCGTGGGCTGTGTATCAACAACAGCCTGGGCCGTGCGATAGGCCTCAATGTTCAGCAAGTGCCACTCAGACAGTTGGGCTGGCGGGGTCAGCGCCTCGAATCTATCCGCCTCCGCCGCAAGTTCAGAGGAGAGGTCACCATAGGTGGCGTCATCCGCCAGGTCGATATCTGTCGTGGCGCAGAGCGTCAGGTACTCGTCAAGGGATAAGGTCGTTGCTGCAGGCGTGTTCGTCGGCCCTGGAGTCGAGGTGGGCAATGGGGTGTTTGTTGGCCGGGGCGTTGCTGCGGGCATTGGCGTAAGAATTGGGGTGGAGGTGGTTAAGGTTGCTGCGACTTTCGCCTCCACTGTGGCGTCAATCGCCGTCTCTGCCTCACGGGTGCCGCTGATACCTGCCTCCACCGTCGCCGGAACGTCAGCCGTCGGTCGGGATGCTGTTTGTGTCGTCCGCAGTAGACGGTGCCTCGCTGGAGCAGGCAACAGCCGTCAGGCCGGAGATTACCAAAACAATCAGGATGATAATTCTCATTTTCTTTCCCCAGTGCCGCGATAATTTTCAATCGTCCCTATCGACAGGTTCAGCGCCCCCGGCGCTGACCGGGGCGAACTCCCCGGCCGGAGGCCTGACCAGGACGCCCCAGTTTCCCCGTCCGCATCCAGTCCCTTCCCTTCCGTCTGCGGGGAAAAGTCAGGACGAGGGGCTTGCCAGCGGAATACCAGAGGCTAAGAGCCATGCCCCAGCGTTGGGTACTGGCTTGCGTTGCCGAAATCCCAGAGGTCATCGCCAACTCCGTCCTCATCCAGGTCCACGTTCCAGTTCTCGTAGATGCCTGTGTAGCCCGCTGGCGACTGCAGCTCGCTGGTCGTCTTGCCCTCGCCTCAACTGTTTCAATCGGGATTCCCCGAAAGCCCCGGCCCCATGCTCAAGAGGCCTTTAGCGTGGGCCGGGGCTCATTCGCCGGTTTATCCGGGGAAGTCCGAGGCGGTCAGGCCGCGGCCGTATATTCGCCCCAGCAGGCGACGGAGCCGTTGCTCCTCAACCCGCACGTGTGGTCCTGCCCGGCGCTGACGGAGTGCGATCGTGACGCCTTACCGTCAGCGGCAGTAGGGCAGATCGAGTTCGTCAAGGTCATTCTCTGCTAGATCGCGCAAGGCGATGGGTACGCAGCCCGTGAGCTGGTGGTTGGCGCGGAGGGACAGCCCTTGCAGGTTGGAGAGGTCGGCCAGCGAAGCAGGGATCGGCCCCGTCAAGTTGTTGAACGAGAGGTCCAGCCACTTCAGGTTGGAGAGGTTGCCCAGCTCGGCCGGGATCGGCCCCGTCAACTGGTTGACCGTGAGGACCAGACCTACCAGGTTGGAGAGGTCGCCCAGCCAGGCCGGGATCGGCCCCGTCAACTCGTTCCACCCGAGCGAGAGCGATTCCAGGTTGGGGAGGTCGTACAGCCAGGCCGGGACCGGGCCCGTCAAGTTGTTGGACCAGAGGTCAGCTCTCGCAGGTTGTAGAGGTGGCCGAGCGTGGCCGGGATTGGCCCGGTCAACTCGTTGTTGTTGAGGATCAGCGATTCCAGGTTGGTGAGATCGCCCAGTGCGGTCGGGATCGGCCCGGTCAACCTGCTGTACCATCGCTCCCGAGGTTCAGTTCCGGAGGTTGGTGAGGTCGCCCAGCTGGGCTGGGATCCGTCCAATAATCGAGTTGTTGTAGAGCTGTAGGGACTCTAGGTGGTGAGGTCGCCGAGCGCGGCGGGGAGCGCCCCGTTCAGGTGGTTGGACGAGAGGTTCAGCGCAGTGACTCGGCCGTCGCTGCGCGTGGTGACGCCGTGCCACTCATCGAGGGGCCTGCCACTCAACCAGTTGGTCCTGGTTTGTACCAGCTTACGCCTTGCGTGGCGTTGTGGAGGGCGACCAGGGCGGCCCGGTCCGAGGCCACGCCCGGGCCGTCTTCGGCCGTGTCCTCATGATCGTTGACCCGGGTGGGGGGGGACACCGTCAGCGTGTAAGGTCCCTGTGCCGTAGCCTTCCACTGCAACGAAGTGCTCGCCGGAACTGGAGGCTTCGAAGTGGAGGCGCGATGCATAGGTATCGCCGTGGTCGTCGTTGGAGTCCAGAAGCGACCCGTAGACGTCGTAGAGGGTTGCTATCGGGTCGTCCAGCGTTCCCGGCGTAACGTCTATCTGGTAGGTCTGTCCGAGCTGGGCTTGGAAACGGAAGTAGTCGATGTCACCATCGTAGTCCAGCGCTCCCAGAACAGTGGATGCCGCTGTCATCGCGGTGGCGTTGCGAAGGCGGCGACAGTGCCGCCCGGTCCGACGCCACGCCCGGGCGTCTTCGTCGGACGAGTCCGCTTGGTCGTATGGCACAAGATCCGGGTCTATACAGCCGGCGTCCATCATCTGTTGAAGGACATCCTCGGGCAGCCGGACGACAACATCACCTAATTTCCTTCCAATTCGTCTGCTGCGCCCGAGATCAGCATGAGGTTGGCAAGGTCTATGACATCGTCCTTGGGGTATGTATCAAAAACAGCCTGGATCGTGCGATAGTTCTCAATGTTCAGCAGGTGCCACTCAGACAGTTGAGCCGGCGGGGTGAGCGCCTCCAACCTATCCGCCTCTGCCGCAATTCAGAGGAGAGGTCGCCATAGGTGGCGTCGTCCGCCAGTTCCTGCTCTGGCAAGGCGCAGAGCGTCAGGTACACGTCAAGGGATAAGGTCGTTGCCGCAGGCGTGTCGTCGGCCCTGGAGTTGAGGCGGGGATGGTCAGGGTCGCAGCGACTTTCGCCTCCACTGTGGCGTCAATTGCCGCCTCTGCCTCGCGGGTGCCACTGATACCTGCCTCCACCGTCGCTGGAACGCAGCCCGTCGGTCGGGAGCCGTTTGTTCGTCCGAAGTAGACGTGTCTCGCCGGTGCAGGCAACAGCGTCAGGCCGAGATACCAAAACAATCAGGATGATAATTCTCATTTTCTTTCCCCAGTGCCGCGATAATTTCAATCATTCCTTTTTCAATCGTCCCTATCGACAGTTCAGCGGCCCCGGCGTCGACCGGCGCGAACTCTCCGGCCGGAGGCAGGACAAGGACGCCCCAGTTTCCTCGTCCGCATCCAGTCCCTTTCCCCGTCTGCGGGGGAGAGTCGGGAGATAGAACGAAGGGCTGCCAGCGCAATGCCAACGGCCAAGAGCCATGCCCCAGCGTTGGGTACTGGCTTGCGTTGCCGAAATCCCAGAGGTCATCGCCAACTCCTCCCTGCTCGCATTGCTGCAGGAGCCAGCGACCCCCAACTCCGTGGGCTCCGGTTCAGGCGTCGGTTCCGGCGTGGCTCCGGGCTGCGCCGTGGCGGCGGGAGTGGGAGCGGTCCCAGCCGGCGTCGTGGGCCCTGGCGCACCGGTACACCCCGCCAGCAGTATGGCAAGGAGTATCGCACCCGCTCCCGGCAGTCCCTGCGCAATGGACTTTGACATCGTCGCTCTCCCCGGTCCGGGATTCAGTGCCACGGTCGCGTCCACGTTAGCCCTCCGCATGACGCGCCGTAAGGTTCTGGTGCCTATTGCGAGGGGTACTGTTGTATCTGTCCGATAGGGTACGGTCGAACCTTGCCGCCGCCCCAGCCGGGCGGCGTACATTAACTGCATTAGTCGAGGCTTGAATTTGCAGACCGCGCCGCGCGATGGGATTGCAGGGCCCCGCCGGGAGCCGGACCGGTCCGACCCGGACGACCTGAGATACAGCCTGAGGATTTCGGTATGGGTACGATGGTTTCTTCTGACAGCCTGGCTGCTGCAGTTCAACTACCGGCCCAACTTCGGGGACCCTGCTTATATTCCGACCACGCTGTTTGCGGTATCGCTGCTGGCCCTCAACGGCTACGTCCACCACCGCATCCGGTCGAACCGGACGGTCACGCGGCGCTGGGCGCTCGCTCTCAGCGTGATGGACGCGGCGATGATTACGGCGGGCATCGCCATCTCATCCAGTGGATTTCAGAACACCTTCTTCGTGCTGTACTACCCCGCCCTCGCCATGTTCGCCGTGGTGTTCACCTCCTTCAGGCTCAGCTTCGCCTGGGCCACGATGGTTGCGGTGGTGTACGCCGCGTTGAGCCTGGTGCTGGAGCCGGGCGTCGACTACGGGATCAAGGAGGAGAAGGTGCTGTTCACCAGGATCGTCGTCTTGTACGCGGTCGTGGGGGCGGTCAACCTGGTCTCCAGGTTCGAGCGGACCAGAAGGAGGGAGGCAGTGGAGAGGGAAGGGGAGCTTCAGCGGGAGCGGATCGAACTCTCGCAGACCATTCATGACACCATCGCCCAGTCCGCCTACATGATTGGCCTGGGCATCGAGACCGCGATAGAGCTGGCGAACGCCCCGAACGACGAGGGGCCGCGACGAACTGATCGCCAAGCTGGAGGCGGTCCATGCCCTGTCGAAGTCGACCATGTGGGAGTTGAGACATCCAATCGACGCGGGACCCATCTTCGAGGGCAGGGAGTTCGGCCTGGTGCTGAGTTCCCACGCCTCCACGTTCACCACGATCACGTCGATCCCCACCGAGGTGGAGCAGTCCGGCAGGGAGCCGCCGCTTTCCACTGTCACGCGGGGGCTGCTCTTCTCGATAGCCCACAACGCCATGACCAACGCATTCAGGCACTCGCGCGCCGGCAGGGTCACCATTGCGCTGAGCTTCGATGGCGATGGGCTCCGATGTCTGTATCCGACGACGGGACCGGCCTCCCCGACGACTACGCGGACCGCGGCCACGGATTCAGGAACATGAGGAGGGACGCCGAGCGAATGGGCGGCAGCCTCGAGGTGGGCCCGGGCGAGTCGGGACGCGGCACAACCGTAACCTGCGTGGTTCCATATGACGCAAATCGAGGAGGCACGTAGCTTGGCGCCGACAGCAATCGGACGGACAGATCAGGGTGATGCTCGTGGATGACCACGAGATCATGCGCGACGGCCTGCGGGAGGTGCTCCAGCGTGCCGGGGATTACGAGGTCGTGGGGCAGGCCGGAGACGGCGCGGAGGCGGTGAGGGTCGCTCAGAGTCTCAGGCCCGATGTGATCATCATGGACGTCATGATGCCGCTCAAGAACGGCATCGACGCCTGCCGGGAGATCACGGAGGTGCTCCCGGACACGAAGGTGCTGATGTTGACGGCCGCATCGGAGGAGGACGCGGTAATTGAGGCCGTGGCTGCGGGCGCAACCGGCTACCTCGAGAAGTACTCCGGCAAGGAGAAGCTGCTGCGCACCGTCCGCGACGTGGCGGAGGGAGAGCACCGCATACCGGCGACGTGATAAAGCGCGTGTTCGCCGGATTCCGCACGGGGGCGCAGCAACCGGCCCACGAGTTGAACCGGCTGACCGCGCGGGAGCGGGAGATACTCACGCTGTTTGCGCAGGGCCTGTCGTACGCTGCGATCGCTGAGGTCAGGGGCAACCAGCCGGTGACCATCCGAAACGGCGTCTACGGCATCCAGGACAAG